TGTTTGTCCAATATAAATTTTAGGACAAGATCCGCATTTCAACCTGCAGACACCTGATTTTTGAGATTTTGGACATTTCGTTTTAATGTTTTTAAAAATTTTTCTATTGTTTCTATTGTGTTGCTAGTTCTGAAAGCTATTTTTAAACCACATTTTGACAAATGTTTTGAAACTTTTTCACTGGGTTGTCCCATGTATGTAATTGTTTTAAATTGTTCGTGTTCTGCATTAGGTTTCGGATAAATAGAGCTTACTGTGGTCTGGATTTGTTTTTTATTTATAATTTTATTAATTGTAGCCGTTGTTCAGTGCAATTTGTTTAATGATATTAAGTTCTTTGATGTAATTTTCTGTTGAGAGTTTCGTATTAAGAAGTCTGTGTATAAAAGAGTGAAATGCAGCCATTTTGTGTGTATAAGGGTGATTTGAGCTGTTATGTATGACTGTGTCAGTGTGTGAAGGTTTATGATAAATTGAATTCACTTGGTGTTTGTCGGGAAATTTTATTTTAGCGCAATAACACAAGGATAAGTAGGTATGAATCGTAATACCGCATTTTAACCACGACAATTTCATTCTGAATGCCATAAAATGATCCTAAAAAAATGTTCGATGCAATGGTAATGTTTCGAAAACACATTGCCACTTTATATAGTGTTGATCATTTGCACATTTGCCGCGGTGCATTAATCACTCTCCATTATTTAGCCTTTGTAAACAGCAGTGCTTAGCCGTCAAGCAATTATTTGTAGTCCGCAAACTATTTGTTTATTACCGACTGTTTGTTATTCTTTCATCTCCGCTACTCAATATGCTTTAGTGCTTGTAACGTTTATGATATCCGTAGGCTTATTGGTGGGAGTAGTTTAACAGTCAAATCCATCAAAACCGTTTATTTACACAGACATCAATAAATGTTAAATTGTTTAAGTTGTTTGTTTTTTATCCCTTAAGCGCTGAAATATTATATTTTCAAACTAAGCAAAAATAATTGTAAACTTAAGATTTCCGAAAACTTAATTATTCAATTCATATAATTAATTTAAGTGTCGTTAGTAACCATTTTTTCGATAAAAACATTTTAGTGATTTCTTTTAATTATAGAAATTTTGCAAAAGAGGCTTCTCATAAAACTTTTTTATTTCTAAAGAAAATATTATTCAAAACGAACAAAATTAAAATGGTACATAAAACGAACCAATATTATATAATTACATATTTAATAACGTCAATAATATTATCTTAAATCTATATTGTTACATAATTATGGACGGCCATTGGATTTGTCGTCCGTCCACCAACTTTTTAGTTTCAAGTGTATTTACGTATTTTTTTTGGATTCAGTTGGAATTCAGAGTTTAGTTCTAATAATTTTTCAAAATATTTTACAGTATTTATTATTTGCTTAGAATAAATTAAAAAAGAAAAATTAAAACCATGAAAACTGACAAAATGAATTTCTGTGAACATAAATTTTTTGGACTCTCTGTGAAACTTGTTCTAAAAAATGAACGCTACAACGGCATGTTTTCTGAACCACCCTATATATATGATCTCTTGCACTATTCTGAAACCGGCAATAAATTTGCCAATATAGGAATTCAGTTTCTTTAAACCCAGCTTGAAGCTCATCATTTTCCATTATAGCTTTCCATATATACCGGATGGTCCCAGTAAGGCCAACAAGGTAGGGTATTACGGAACCGGACAGTCCTAGAAATCTCAAAACAAAATTATCAATACATCGTTTTTTTTTTTTCAAAGAAATTTCCACATGCTACTGTAATACTGTTTACAAAACTTCTGGGTGGAAGTTTGGTGAAAAATATTACATCGTAATTATTTTCGAGTTACAGAAATGGCCACCAGCGAGCGTAAATTCAAATCTTTTTTGTATAATGCTGCTTGTTTTATCTCTGCAAGGAAAGTGGTGGGAATATTTCACAAATTTTGAACTTTTTATACAAAAAATTTATACAAAATCTGCATATTTAAGTGCGATAGGCATAAAGTTTCATTAGAATTTCTTTCAAACTTTTTTGAAAACCTCTTTTTTACTATTGACGTCACCTGCTTTGAAAAATTTAGTTTCCTGTCAATATATATATATATATATATATATATATATATATATATATATATATATATATATATATATATATATATATATATATGATTCTCATCAATCCTTAATTGTATAATTTGTTCTAATGTCTCAGCTTTAGGACCAACCAAGTAGTGCTGTTTTGACATGGTTTTTACTATTCTCAATTCCACATTCGTACTATATTCAGTCACTTGATATCCCTGTGCCTCCGCATATGCCTGCTAACTACACACTTGTAGAATTAAAGCTATCTGCTGAATACAAAATGAAAAAAAAGAAAAGTGATTATTGGAGTAGACCAGCATCTGAGACGCCAATCAAATGAAAAGATGTCATTCAAAACGTTACAAAATACAGAGTATTCTTTATGACACTCTAGTTTTAAATTTTTTTGAACAACATCTTCTATATAACAAGAAGGCTTAGAGGGCAAAGACCGCTAAATCACTTAGGTGCGACCACTTTTGGCAGAACTTTGATCAAAGAAACTTTGCAGCACTTAGGGAAGTACCTTACTCAATACATATTTTAATAATAATCCTTATTCTGGACAATACCTAATTTCTTAGTTGCTCATAAAATCGCTATTCATTCCCATTCATCTTGCAAAAGCGCTCATTAGATGGTGCCCGCGCCCGAGTTATCGCACATGTCTTTAGAGGTGCGCAATGACTAAATATGCCTACGCCTATAAGCAGTGACTAACAAATCTCCACCTTTTTGTCAGTATAATTTACATAAAATAGAAAATGCCGGGGTAATATAACTAAATTTTTATAAAAAATGAAATGAACGCATTTGCAGCATAGTTAGCCCATAACTAAAAACACTGAGCACATGAGCTACATAGAGGTGATTCATAAAAATGTGCATTTCCAAAAACGCTCTCTTACTTTTTTATTTGTAAATATAGAGATTTTTATTAAAAACATTTTTTGAAGGTTTTTAAAGGGCAAATCTACTTGTATCACCCATTTTTGTCGATAGGGTCTAAACTTTTGTTAATTTCTATTTCTCCCAGAACCGTTAGTTCTTCCAACTCTCGATCTCTGGCTAGGCATTTATACGTCCTAGGCCGCGGTTTTGTAAAGAATTCGTATTCTTGTTGATGGCGTTTTAACTTAAAAATATTTTTGATCCAGGTTGCCTTCTTTCCGGATATCTCTGGAAATATAGATTTAAAGCCGTCTGTCGATTTTCGTTACTTTCAATATAGCGTTTTATCATGTCGCACTTTTCATAGTTTTCAAACATTTTTATAGCTTGACGAAGATGCCACTTTTGACACTTGGGCTTGTGTATCATGGCAATTGTTTTTATCTGATCATGGGTCCTAGATAGATACCGTAAAATTGCATAGGTCAGAGTTAAGCACAGCATACTATGGTGATTATTAAAAATTGCAATTGCAATATCTTGGCAATTGTTCATGGCAATTGTTTTTATCTGATCATGGCTACGTAGATAGATACCGTAAAATTGCGTAGGTCAGAGTTAACCACAGCCTACTATGGTGATTATTAAAAATTGCAATTGCAATATCTTTTTAACTACTTACTAACAATAGGTGTATGGTACGTACATCGTTTGTCAGGAAATTTTATTAGAAAATTATTTTTTTTTAAATTGGGGTATTCCATTTAAGAAAATTATGCACCCGTGGGGGTCAATATGGCCTAACCTTTTGTTAATTTTTATTTCTCCCAGAACCGTTAGTTCATCCAACTCTGTATCTCTGGTTAGGCATCTATACGTCCTAGCCTACTATGATAATTATACATACAATAACGCGTTTTACCACAAACCGAAATTCAACTTTACGTACTCGACGCGCGTTCCGCCAACCAAGTTGGCATCTTCAGGAGAAGATGAAAACTGTTTTAATCTTCTCCTGAAGATGCCAACTTGGTTGGCGAAAGGCGCATCGAGTACGTAAAATTGAGTTTCGGTTTGTGGTAAAACGCGTTATTGTGTGTTAGTACAATGCCGAAGGTTCCAGTCAAGAATTTGATATGATAATTATTAAAAATTGCAGATATTTTTTTAATTCCTTACTAAAAATAGGTGTATGGTACAGTATGGTACATCGTTTGACAGGAAATGTTATTAGAAAACTATTTTTTTTAAATTGGGGTATTCCATCGTGAAGTAAAGGCTTTAAGACAAAATCGGTGAAACAGGTAGATTTGCCTTTAAAAAATTTTCGAAAAAAGTTTTTAATAAAAATCGCTATCTTTACAAATAAAAAAGCTATAGAGGGTGTGTAGCTTAAAAACGCCTTGACATATCACGATGCGGTTTTCAGTTTTTTACTTACTCGAAAATTGAGCCCCTAACATGCATATTAGTTTTGGGCTAACTATGCTGCAAATGCTTAAAGACAACGAGGCCCCTCGAATTTGGACCACCCGGTACTATTGTGATTTTATTATAACTAAATAAACATAATAAAATATTTAATCTTTATATTTTTAAAACGGCAAGTTATTTCGACAAGTTCCCATCAAAAGTCAAGCAGGTATACTTTGTTTTATTATTTAATTGGATGATGGTGCCATTTAATTTTGATTGTACATCAGAAATCAACCAACATCTTTGACACACCAATTAGCTGGCAGTAATCAATTTACCCAAATCTTTGAGGTGTCAGAAAATATTCAAAACAAAATATTCATCGCGGTCTCGTGTGAGATTTTTTGTCTCGCAATTAAATTAGTGACAGCAGACAAATTCAACAAACAAAGTGCCGCCGTAAAGATAAAAAGCATCGACACCAACGCATTCATTGATAAATGGCGAGTATCGCGTAGGTATCAAAATCATGTATCCGCGTCATGCGCCTGAAACTACTTCGGGCGGCCGAGAGTCCTGCGTAGAGTGCAGATTTGATAGCTATCGATTTCCCGAAACCTAGAAGGGTGCTCTAGGCAGCCATATTGCCAAGAATTTTCACGTTTCCTCGAGTCCGATACGACTTTTCGTCCAAATCTGACCGTTCGAGGCAGTTGAAAAGACAATAATGTACCGAAGGTGGTAAAGATCGCCCAGAGATCCGGGAAAAAAGAGAGTAAGTACGGTGCTTTTCCTTTACGTATTTCCATTTCCTTCCGATATCGTTTCCGTCGAAAATTTCCGCGAGGATGCCCATCCTCTCTTGCTGACGGTGGATTCTGAAAGCCCGGATGTTACTTAGTGGAAAGTTTACTACGCCTCAATTGCAAAATTAGGATAATACATATTTAAGATAAATGGCGTCAAATTAACAATCACGGACGCTATTTTGGAAAATAAATTTTTTAGGCATTTGCTTCTGCTCAGATCGACCATTTACAATGTTTATTAGCATTATCAGCACGCGAATCATTTAAAAACATATGTTTTCAAATATTTGATGCGGATGTGACGATGGTAATAGATTTCCACTGTTAGAAAAATTCAAATAAAAATGCAATGTATTCTGTATTCTCATAGTATGTAAGCGAACGTGTCCCTTTGAGCGGGTTTGACGAACCGTTTTACTTCTTTGCTGCAGTTTTACACTCTGTCAAAAAACCTTTCGTGTGAGCCTATTTATGTCATTCCACGGATGCGTTCCCATTGGATTTGCGCACTGCGCCACTGACAAAATACATTTCTGGGAATTGTATGATTGCATCTGTCATTCAAAAAGTAAATCCGTTTTTGAACCAAACAAGTTTTTGCTTCCGGTTTTTGGAACTTGAAAGGCCAAAGAGGATACCGCACCAAACCAAAAACTTTTCTTACCATCAATCGCAAGTTTTGTTTTCGTTTTCGATCTTTTCATTGTTCTTTTAATTTCCAAAATTATGAATCCGTTTTTTAATTCCATTTTTATAGATGGAATTCTTTGGATCCAACGGATTGCTATGTTCGCGGAAATCGTCTATTAAAATAATCTTTTCTTCCGTATTTCACTGCTTTTTTGACAGTTTACTATCTTCAGGCACGATCTTGAAAGCAATTAACTAACCAAAACTAACCATTTCCGCACACTAGACATTTTCAAAACCTTTTGATTTTCCCAGTTTTAGCAGTTCTCAATGGTTAACTTAAAAAATGTAACATGTCAAAATCGGATTTAAATTTTATGCCAGCGTCTAACAAAAGTTTGCAATCTGAAAAATAATGTTTTAAAATTAATATATATATATATATATATATATATATATATATATATATATATATATATATATATATATATATATATATATATATATATATATATATATATATATATATATTAATTTTAAAACCTTACTAATAACTAATCCTAATTATTTTACTCCCACTTCTACTGAATAATCTTTTGTTTTATTTTTTTTTTAACGTTTATTTTTTGGTTATGTATTTACGGGAATTAGTATGAATAGCGTTATATTTTAGTTATGATATTGTGGCTGATACTGATTGAAATAAACTTAGTATTATGCGCCAAATGCCATCCATAACTTTCGGCATCGTAACAAAACGTGCTTGCCAAGTAAAATTGCACACATGTAAATCGAAATTAATTGTGACCCAAAAATTCACTCTTCCTGCAGGAACGGTAACCCAACCATCCACTGAATGGCAATCGATACGCAGTGGCCTATATATTTTCATAGCGATACCGTAAACTTTGGCTTCAACCTAACTTCAGTAGCCATTTGTTTTCAGCAAAATGGCGCCAAATCCGAGCCGTCTCTTCAAAAGAGACGCTCCCCCTCAACAGGGGTCCACTGTAGCCAGTGTCGTAAGCACGGTATCGCCGAAACCCGAAGAAAAACTTACCGAAAGCCGGTCTTCTACGTCAGCGACTGTTGGAGCTTCGTCCGGTCCAGGTTATAATGAACCCCACCCCCACATATTCAATAACAAATCATTTCATTCTTCTTTTCGCCGTACGACACCATCATATCAAAGTGAACCAGGTATAGTTATGAGTTGTTGGGTGTAGTAACTGGATGTACCTTGCACGTAGGTTAAATCGCACATGATAACTTAATACCGTAGTCTAGCTTTCGGATATACGGGTCAGGCAACTAACAATATGAAATTTACAACTAATAAAAATAATAAGTGTACAACCAATTCGCTTTTTCTTATACCTTTCAGTCTTCTACATTAATCAAAATTGTTTTGGGTAGCCATTCTTCTGAATTATTTGTAAGCGCTGGATAGCTTACAGTCGTTATGGTGATAATGTTTGGAATGTTTTCAGTTGCCTGGTACGTATTTCATGGTACACCGAGACACGCTCATTTCACAAACATAACTATACTTACGCCATCACAATAACCACACAAAACACTTCGAAAGTCACCACAACGAATGCTTGCCATCTTTGGCCAACAGCTTGGCGAGTCGAGTGCGAAACATTGTTCGCAGCTTACTTGAAAGTTGTCAAAAACTCTGTAGCATGATATAGTGACGATAAGTTTCACGTATCAAGTCGTCTCGTTGGAATCGGTTGGATGTGTAGATTAATGTAAATATTTCATAAATGATGATTTTTCCCTCTTCAATTGGTTGAGCATAAAATGATTGTAGCATTAGGAACAGTAATATCAAGATAAAACTTTGTCTGCGATTAAAAACTGACAAATTGCTGAATAATGCCAGCTAAGCTTATTATTTTCTCTTTCAAAAGTATACCATAGTAAAAATTTAATTCAATTAAATACAATTGGTATTGACTTAAATGACTTGCACTATTTCTAAATCCATCCCCGGTTGAGAAAATGACATAATGGACATAAAAAATAAAATGTAAGCCATTGCATGCCTAAAAAAAATAGTATATAATAGTCATTTAGTTGGGTGCTGTGAAACAGTTGTATACCTTCTTTAGAACATTTTATTTAAACTATATAGCTCAAATAAAAACTAGACAGATGAACAAGACACCGGAGGCAAAACAAAAATATAATTATTATATTAAGTGTTGAGAAGAAAAGAAAACATCGTCCTAGTTTCCAATTCTGTGAATAAAAAAGCTTGAACCCTTTCATATGGTATGGATATAACTTATATTCTTTTGATATCCTCCATACAGTTGATGCATCAATTTTTAACTGTGCTGCAATTTTCCTGGTACTTGTCTCCGATTGCCCTTTAATGATATTCAGCACAGCAACTTCTAATTCGGGCGTTCGAACTTTCTCCTTTTTTTGAAATTTCCAGATTTACGTAGTCTTTGATTGTGTATAAAAAAGACAAGCTTCCAAGTGCATTTAATAATTATATTATTAGATAATACATTTTTAATTAAATTAGTCGCATTTTGTATTCAAACTAACTGAACAATGTCAAACAATGCAAGAATAAGAAACGCATTACGAAGTCAATAAATTTTGCTTTAGATTTTAGTTTTTTATTTGGAAAGGCTGAGTATTATAAAAACAATTGCACTAGTAAAAAACTCTAAATTAATCATAAAATAAAAAATATATTTTCATGTCATTGCATAAGATTTTCCTTAAACTGAGTTAAGAAGACTTATAGGGGTAGTGTAATTCAATCCCCTCAACATATTTTTAAAAAAATTGAAAACTGTGTTTTTATAATAGCAATCCTTCTGTAATATTTTATTGTTCTATTTAACATTAAACATTAATTTTCCGGCATATTTTTTAAAGTTCATATCCTTTATTTTAAGTTTAAAACTTTTAAAAAATTTCTTGTACCCATTATTCCTAGGAATAGTGTGATAGTAATGGATAGTGCAAGATCACCAATTGTACAAGTACAAACAGTACGAAATAATTCAATTGATAATCCACCATCATAAATTGAAAGCTACGGTTAGAAACTGTTACTGCTTATAGATAGATTAAAAAAAAATTGGCTGTTATGTGAAGCAGATATAGATTAACTTGGAAAAATTTTAATTGTAAATAATAATAATAACAATAATAATAATAATAATAATAATAATAATAATAATAATATATTTATTTATTTATTTACTTACGTAATTCCAAAAATATTTTAAATATAATAGTAGAAGACAGAGAGGCAATTAAAATATTACTGTAAGTCCTATCCTATAACTAATCATACACTTTTTATCAAAGACATATTCTTTTTAAATTGGATATCAACAGAAAAATAAATGTAGTTTTAAATGTGCTATGTATAAGATGTCCATGGTATTATTTTTTCTTATTTTTTTTTGTTTTAATCCGTTTTGCAAAATGTCTTTAAAAAAGTGTTTTCAATTCCTTTATAGAAATAGAGGTGTCGTAAGTTACATATATTTGCTTTTTTATCAAGTGTAACAGTTAGAGTTGTCTTATGTTTAATAACCATTTTTAAGCTACAATCCCTTATTCGCCCTCCAACCACCTGGTGCATTACTGAGCTGAGATTGAATCAACGAAAAACGAATATTCTTTCTTGTCTGATAGAGCTTCGGGTATTATCATAGTTTTATAGATACGTTGATGCATAGGGGTCCCATATTAGGTAGTTGTGACGTACATGAAATAAAGCAAAAGTATTTTGTTTCCGATACGTTCAGTTAGTTGGAACCAATTAACCTGCGAATCAGCAGTATAAAATATTGCTATGTCTTCAGAGATTTAATTTCAAAAGAGGGGTTTGAGACCGTTCCTTGTGGAACACCACAGTTCACGTTTCAGTCAAACTCTGAAGAAACCAACACAATGATTGGCTAAACGTTAGCAAGTTCGATTCAACAAAAACAGGAGGAATTCAGAAGTTTTGTAAAAAGTACCACAGTTCACGTTTTGATATTCACTTGATTTAAGATGTACAGTAACTGAGTGTTTTCGGATAACTGTTAGTCAGATAACTAAAATAGCAACAATGTTTTAATCAGTTTTTAAATAACAGAAATTATCTAGAGTCCGAATTATCCGAGAATGCTATTACAACGTGGTCAAGTAGTTTTAGTAAGTCGACACCAAATATCTCGAAATATACTATACGTGCACATTTGCACATTTGGACGTGTCTGTGAAAAAACATATTATTTTGTTGAACACGAAGGTGTGGAATTGTTTATCACATAAAATTAATGAGAAAAATTGATATCGATTAAATGGGTACACAACCATATCTGTTTTACCGCCAGGAACATAGTTTTACCATTACGCCATCATTAAACAATTGGTGTCTAACATGTTCCACAACAACGCGTTTCTATTACGAACTATTGGCTTTAATATCATGCCAACCAATGAAGACGGTCTCGAGGAAGATATCGAAGAGAACGAAAAACGTCACGTTTTGAAATGGTACCCTCTGTTCCAGTACGGGGTCATTGGGTCGCTATTCTCCTGTTTAGATCTGACGCATCTTGTCGTTTATTTTTCAGAAATTAAGCCCACGAATGCGACTGCTACTAATCCGTTTAAGGAGATATCGGAATATGCGGAAGACAAGTACGGCATCCATCCATGGGTCTTGGTCACGATTTCAATAGGTAAGTGCCAAAATTTCGTGTTTGAGTCAAACATAACGTTTAATTTTAATATTTCCAGCCGTATGTGCAGTCGTTTTGGGCATCTGCTTTTGCTGTATAAGAAGATGTTTCCGGAAGCGAAGGTCAAAAGACAAAAAGGGCATGAAGGGAGCGGATTTGAAATCGATTAATCTACTAGGATCTTCCTACAAGGAACAGGTACGGGTTAAGGGAAAGAAGAAAAAGTCTTAATGATATTCATTGCTTAGCAAAAAAGTAAACAGGGTTGTGTACATATTTGTAGGTGCAACCGGACATGGACGAACTAACGGCTAACGTTGAAGAGCCCGACGAAGGTGAAAAGCCGGAAGTTCAGAAACTCGGAAAATTGCAATTTAAGGTAGAATGAAAGAATGGAAATTAAATGCTTATTTTGGATATACGTTATTTTTATTAATTTCGAATATCATTTTTTGTAAATGCTTTGCAAATCTTACTGTACAGGGTGGTCACAATTGAAGTGTTTTAACAGAAAAAAAGCTCGATTTTTGAGAAATATTTTACTTTTTTTTTATAAAAAATTTTATCCGGAAAGAAATGATTTTACGCCTGAAACCACTGTTACCCCTTCCACATTATTAAAACAAACATTTTGCGACAAAGTTAAGCCTCTGCTTATGTTGGTTGGTTGATAGATTAGAATATGGAATTAGAATGCGTTTCGAGGGAGTTGTTGAGATCTTTTAAGTAGAGAATTAAAGTTAGTTCGTTTGTTGGTCTTTTGTAGTCGATGTACATTGCGGTTGACTAACATGTTAAGGGAACCATTTCTGAAAAACATGTAATGGCTAAAACCGTATGGCGATTATTAGGACATTTTTTAAGCCAATTGCAGTGGAGTACGCAGATTTTTTCTACACTTATCCGTTTTCTCATAAATGAATACAATACATTGTGTCAATATCAGTTAAGGACATAACTTTTATTGTTTATTGAGTTTTATGTTCTTTCACGCAGAATTTTAGTGGCCAAATTTAAGCTTTTATTTCATTTAGCAATTTAAAATGTACCAAACTTATTGTAAGTATGATACGAACGAAAACGTAGAGTCAGCCAATTAATTTTATAATATAAATAATACTTACCCAAAACGGTAGCAATCAGACAAGCAAATATTTCGGCCGTTGAAAATGAATTTAACTAATTACGGAATTTTCAAAACAAAACCACTTAGGTAAATGGAAAACAGAAAATCTGGGAATTGAATATATTTAACTGAAGAAGTATTTTGGCGCTAGCTGACCCAACAAATGGTGGAAAAAGTTTTGACTACTAGACTAGACTAGACAAGACTAGACTAGAAGACTACAATTTTTTAACTGGCTCATGGGAAAATGCAATGGGAACATTAATTTTCCATTGTCTATTGTTTGGAGTGATGAAGCGAGAATTGACTATTCCGGAATATTTTATAGGCACAATTCTTATCACTGGAGCACAGAAACGCCTCATACTGAAGTGTATCAAAATCGCATTTGCATTCAATGTATGGGTTGAAATTTTCCGAGGTAGTTTTGTGGGACCTTATTTTTTTAATGAAAATCTAACAGCCGATGGTTATATAAATATTTTGCGAACATGTGTGTTTCGTTTTTGCAAGACTTGATATTAATTCTTGAAAGGAGTGTTTATTATCAGCAAGATGCCTCGCTCACAACGCACGAATTGTAAGTGAACTTTTAAACTAAAGGGCCTAAAAAATTATATATTTGACCAAAGCAGAGTTAGAGGAAGCCATTCGAGAAGCGTTTGCTTCATCAATCTCATAGAGTTAGTGAATAGTTGCCATTCAGTAAGAAAAGGTGCATTCATTGTGTAACGGCGCCCAATTTAAACATTAACGTTAAAATATTTCAACGTAATTAATGTAAACGGTGAAATTTCAACATAGTGTAGTCAAATATTTATTGTGTTTTGTGTACTAGGTTAAAATACCTTTTTTTCTAAATAATCAGAAATATTAAAAATAAATATTAAAAATAAAATCCAAAATTAAAATTAAAATTAAAATATTCAATAGTTTTTAGGTTTTAGTGTTTTTCACTTAAGTTATATTAAATTGGCCTTTTCTTTTAATTTTATGAAATTATTTTAAAGGTTTCTATTGACGTCTTTCTGAACATATTGGGTACGGCCTACTAACACATAAACAAAAAATGCCCTATATGTCCGGCTATTTTCATCACAGATAAAAACAAATCTATATGGCTGAAAATGCCTCGACAAATGGTTTTGTTCTGAAACTTCCGTAATTAGTTAAATTCATTTTCAACGTCCGAATATTCGCTTGTCTGGTTGGTGCCGCTCTGGATATGTATTGAGAAAAAGTTCATTGGCTGACTCTGCGTTTCCGTTTGACAAAATTTAACACTTCATCGTATCATAGTTTTGATAAGTTTGGTACATTTTAAATTGCTAAATGAACTAAAATCTGTGTCACAGAATACAAAACTTAATAAAGAATAAAAGTTATGTCCTTAACTGGTATTCACACATAAAAAGTAATTAAGATGTATTCATTTATAAAAACAAACAGAGAACTGTAGAACAAATCTGAGTACGCCACTGCATTTGCTTTAACAAAATGCCCTAATAATATTCTATTTGAATCCAAAATTTTCATAAACAAAAAAATTATGGTCCGAAAATGAAAAAACGCGGTATATCTCATTTTATTCTCTGCTTAAAAGATCTCAACGTCTCCCACAAAAAATAGAGCTCTTCTTTGTTCAATTTTAAACCAATCTGACGACATGGTCATATTTTCGAAGACCCATAATAATACGGAGTATAGATGCATAATCGATAAAAAAGCATAAATCACATCACAGTAGTTGAAATGTAAGAGAACTAGTGACTCCCACAATTGTTGTTTATTTCAAAATTGAAAATATAATTGCTACTACATAAATTTTTAACGACATGTTAGCTTCTAACTCCAAGCATCGTTGAAGCAGCAGATGCTGCGGAAAGAAACTGAATGATTTGATTTTGTTTTAGCTGGAATACGACTTTAACCAAAACAGCCTCTCCGTAACGGTCATTCAAGCCGAAGATCTTCCCGCACTGGATATGGGTGGAACGTCAGATCCGTACGTAAAAGTTTACCTTCTGCCGGACAAAAAGAAAAAGTTCGAAACCAAGGTCCACAGAAAGACACTTAACCCCGTTTTCAACGAAACGTTCGTTTTCAAGGTAGGGAAGTGCCAACGTTAGGCTACCATCAAGCACTCGTTTTGGTTTAGGGTATCCCATACGCAGATGCGATGAACAAGACGCTCGTGTTCGCCATTTTCGACTTCGATCGTTTCTCCAAACACGACCAAATAGGCGAGGTGAAAGTGCCACTGTGCCAAATAGACTTGGCCCAAACAATCGAAGAGTGGAGGGAGCTGCAAAGCGTGGAAGGCGAAGGTGGTCAGGTGATATCATTTTTTATACTTTACGACCATCGGAAAGTAGGATTTTTTCACTTGGATTATTATTTTATTGAAGAAAACAAGTAGTAGAGGAACTGTTGACAAAAAAATCCTACTTAGGTCACGGTCCTTGCTTCGATCGGATTCTTACACCCAGTTCGGACCAAATAAAAATTGCACAGTTATACGACACATTTTTTTAAAGACGAATTCGCTTGCTAACGGCGTACCGCAAATTCATCGAGACGCGAATTTGCATCCATAAGACAGGAAGAATTATTTTTGTAACTAAAGTTCTATAAAAATTTGACGCAGTTCGTGTTAAATCTGAACAAACAATAAAATAAACGGAACAGGGAACGATTAAGAGAAATTAAAATTATAATTCCAAAACTACTTTGGCAAACACTGAAATTTTTATTGAATATTTAGTTACAAGTAGGAGTTTCATTCTGCACAAGTATTACATACACATTATAATATTTAGAACAACTCCTTGTAATGGCAAAAGGGAGTTGCATTTTCCACAAAGGAAGTTACATCAGCCGACAGAAGCGAGGTGATCGAGACTGCAATACGACCAAATTGAACAAGAGACTTGTTACTTTCTCTCTCTACGTGACAGTAATATCAAATCATTCTAGTCTGTCATGTTAAAGTGCTATAGTTTGAAATGGTGCGGGTAGGGAAGCTCAGGTTTGAGCCAGTTGGTGCATGTAACTCATTTTACCAGGCAAGGAAACTACATGACCTAAATAAACATAAATGAAAACAGCTACAGAGTACTGAAGCCAATATTTATTCTTCCTTGATAGGAATTTCGTTTCTTCATTTAACGGAGTAATAAAATGTAAATTTACAATTACAGGCTGGATAACACAAAGTTTACATTATAAAGTGCAGATAAATTGCAGTGATAGTTTCCGATAAATTTTGGTTTTAATTGGTACACAATAGAAAGACGAGTTTGAGGAATGAAAGTGACCACAGGTAGTTGATTATAAAAAAATATATAATAATTGTACATGATTATAATTATAGAGACGCGCAGATAATTCAGATATCAGTCTGTAAGATCAAATAAATAAAAAAAATTTTATTCTGCCATATTTATAAGTTCGGCACAGATAGTAGATGGTCTTATCTGTGTTTATTAACATTTTAATTAGCCGTTTTTGAGATATTTCAATTTAAAAATAATTATCGTTCGATTTCTGAACAATAACCATATTGTTTAAAAATGGTCAAGTCTGCCTTGATTGCAACCATATCTTCTATGTTTACAATTGTATTAACAACTTTCTGCTTTTGACAACTAATCAAAACTAATGATCAGCAACGTAAGTTTAAATAATTTAAGATATTTCAAATGGGTTATACTGAGGAAGAACAACGATAAATAATAAAATTATGTTATTCAAACAATAAAAATATTAATAATTAATACTAAAAATTTTCCACATAACCTCCATTATTTTCTATACAATAGACAATATTTCGTTTCAATTTCCTATTAATACACGAGGTGATAGAATCAGGGTTTTCTCTGCTTCGATCTTGTAAAATGATATTAAGTCTTTCTCTTATCACTTGTAAACTTTCAGGCCTATTATAATAAATTTTATTTTTTAAATATCTCCACGAAAAAATTTCTATATTTATTATTTAGATAATTGGTAACCGGTTGGACATATGTGGAGGTGTGCCATTTTGATGCCAAATTAAATTTAAATAATTTGTAACTGGAATATTTTCTAATAACTGTTCTACTTCTGTTGCAATCGTATATAATTGGTCCTTCCACCATATTGTTCCACATTCCACATTAACTGACGTCCGTCTTTGGATTTTCAATACCTGCATTTGGATTATTAGTGGACCAAAAATATTTGTTCTTCCTGTACATAATTTAATATTTCAGTGCCCATCGGTTAAATTTTGCACTGGAAGGAACTTATACGGGTGAAACTTATGATATTTTTTGATAATTTTTTAAAGTCGGGATTTTCTAAAAAATATGAAACATAAAAATTAAGAAAGTAGAACTTAAAGTCATGATGTCAAGTATCGTAATGGTATAATAATTTACCTTGAAACTAAATTTATATATGTGACACTATTTCGGTCCTCAAATCGTTTAATCACATTTTTAATTGTATTTATTGAAGGAACTCTTCGACCAGGATATATTTGTCGACATTCTCTTTTAACCCTTGCAACTTTATATCCGTTTGAATAATATAATTTTATTATTTGTTGTTTGTCTTCCTCAGTATAACTCATTTGAAATATGTTAAGTTATTTAACTTACGCTGCAGATCTTTAGTTTTGATTAGTTGTCAAAAGCAGAAATATGTCAAAAATGGCTAAATGAAATGTCAATAAACTATATGTTTTTTAAAGCAGGAGAAAAAGATCCACATCATCATTTTGATAGCTCGTGATTATCGTTTGTTTTTTCTGACATTTGCAAAGGATAATAGAACAAAAGATGTCAAATTTTTGTATTTACACTTTTTTTTCTATCTTTCAAAATTATCCCTGTAGGTGGGTGTTAAAATATAATGAATAACCCACTACAGTACTACGCCTATAATGATTAATTACCCTCTCGCATTAAGAAACAGATTATATCTACAATTTTTTTCCGTTTCTGATGTTTCGTATAGTAATTTTTACTTGATCCTCTATAACTTCTGAAGAGTGGTACAATTATGTTGTTTTGCTTTACAATGATTTTGTCTATTATTTCTTAAATAATATTATATATTTTGTTAAATCAAATATTAATAAATCGTTTTGTAAAGATTTACTGGTCACTTTCAGTCACTTTGGTGGTCTTATTATTACTACTTATAGGCTCAAATTCAAAATGTAAAACATCAGATTGAGATTACAAATCATCACTGCCTCTGGTCATTGAAAAATAGGCTTCACTTTTACACAAACTTGGATGAAATGCGTCCACAAATGAAAAATGTTAGTATGAAATGTTAGCAATTACATTTTCATCATTTCTAAGTAAATATTTTCAAATCGTTAATCAATTTTTATTCAATTATCTAATGAAACGAATTATAACGAGAAATTAGTTAATCAACAGCATTTTAAAAAAAAATTGTGTAAATGTGAAAAATCCCAAATATCAGTAGCTTGAATTTTTGAAAATATTTCTAAGGCAAAGCTAAAACTTGCCTTATTTAACTGTTTTAAAATGATCGATTGGCCAACATATTGCGACCAAACGCGTACGTTTATCTAATAGAAAATGTTTTCCAATGTAGATAGAAATCTTGTTCAATTTGGTCGAAATAATATAAATTTCACTTAAACTCACTACAAACTCAAAGCAGTTTACATTTGATATTGACGTAAATTATTTTTTCTCTTTTCCCTAATATTATCTCTCGTTCTGCTTTGATATGGCTGTGTTTAATGGTTGTGCCGGGCGCATTTGTGCATGACACGCTTCAAAAACGATCACTTTACCGATTCACGTAAGTATATTTCATCTTTTTTGTCTTCTATATGCGACATATTCTGAATAATTGATAATTGTAAGATCGGACGCGACGCTATCGCCTAGTCCACAACATATATCTATTTCCGAAGATCAGATATAGAAACAAAAGAACAATTTAAAAATCCTTCCATTGCGTACAAAAAAATGTAGGTTCTTAATTTTGCAAATTTTACCAATCCAATCGAATGGTAATCGATATCTCAGAGTAAGTCGCAAAGTATGTTTCGCAACTCGTAACTTATTGCAGGTTGTACTATTTTTTCTAGTAAATAAATTACTTAATACTTAATACTTACTTAATAGTCAAAGAGTATACGTAATAAGCCTGCACTAAGTTTATCATTGTAGAAATAATTTTACTAGTCTATAAGGTATACGAATTTCTTAAAGTCCAAACAATCAATAACCACCGCGTTGAAAAAAAGTTCGTTTTGGATTTTGGGAATTTCGTTTCTATCACATCCATTCCTTTTTCTTAATAACTTATAATTAATACTGGCTTAATAATAATATTTAATAATATCTATTACTAATTAAAATTGTATCTAAAATATTGTGTCTGCATCTCCAAATTCTAAAAAATAGGCAAAAGCGGGTGTTCAGGCGTCAGATGAGTTTATTAGTGAAACGCGGTCATTAACTATTATAATTAGCACCTATTATTTTCCGAAGGACGTAATTTTTGCGCAAGTACATCCGCTTCTACGCCTACATAGCGTAATCGATCCTTATAAAATGCGCACACAGTTTAAGGGAGTTTTGGCACGTGTTCCCACAAAAGAGAACAGCAAATATTTGAATATTTTGGATACAACACGGTTGAAAGTAGATAACTTTAAAAGATTTTTACTTACATGATTTGTTCACGACATTGTTTTTCAGGTCTTTGTTATTACGATTTTTATATGCATATGCATGTCCCAATTTTTGTTGGCATCTGCATTTGGCTGGTTCTTTATTTTAAAATGATTTTTATTGTTGTTCAAACGAGTTTTTTCAATATTAATCGATAGATCTGCGTACATAAGAAACGTTTTTAATTATTCTGGCATGCCAGCACCACCTAGTTAGTTTTGAAGCACAGTACATTTTTTCTACGGTCCCCAAAATGTGAAATCAAGCGAAAAGAAAATCGACACACACAGCCACAGACAGTTTTAAGAAGTAAAAAAACCGTTTATTGTTAGTTCCAGAACGCAGTTCTTGAGAAGGGAACCGTTGTTTGTAGTTATGAAATAAATATATCATTTTTACTTTGATTTAATTGTAAAATTCTACTTTTTACAAGCTTTTGAAAAAATTTTTCCTTAACTGATATTTGATGGTGAAACCTAAATTCACATTTTGTGAGCAGTTGAATTTTAATTATATATATATAATAACTATTTTTTGTATTACTGGTATTCGAAAACAAACTTTTACGGAATTTTTTCGGGACAGAGAATAGAATTTTACTAAAAATGAGGTTCATATTCTTATA